GAAGTTTTGAAGGACTGCTTTGGGTTCTAAGAGCGGGCTGCAAAGAATGCTGTGGTGCAGTTGAAATTGGGTTGCAGTGGCAATGGCACTGCAATACGTAGAGAATCAGCATGCTGCAAGGTATGAACCGGTCGAACGGTTTGAGTCTTTCGCCAATACTATATCAGAGAGTCTTTCGCTCGCTGAGCCTTAAAAGAATAAACTGTATCCCGCTCGCCATTTTTATTGTTCGCCGCCCGTACGTTCGTTCCCTCCGCCTCCCTGTAAACAGAACCGAACACCCTCTGTCGCACGCAGAGTAGTTTAGTGTTTGGAAAGCCCGTCGCGCCACGACCGCCACCCCACGCCACGCTCAACCGGCCCCGCACCTCGCCGCCAGGGACACGGGGGAGCAAAACGACTTGACTGGCGACTTTGAATAACCAGCGTGCGAGGGCAAGGCGGGGCGCGGGGTCGAGCGGTGCCGCCGGACTTCCCTCCTCGCATTGGGGTCAACCCCAGCCCCGCTGATTGTCGTCATTTCCCCCTCCTGGAGACCCTGTGCGACCAGCGACCGCACGCCGGGTGCCATGTCGTCCGTTAGGGGGGCCCGTTCCGTGCGCTGGAGCTGGAGTACCCCCCTCCCCTGCTCTGACTCTCCGCCGTCCTGATTGCCAGCCAGGGGTGCGCCACTCTGGAAAATATAAGTGCGTAACAAATCTCAATAAAATTTAAAAATATTTTTTTCTTTTTTGAAAAAGTCGAACACTTATTTAAAAGTCAATAAAAAGGTCTAGCAAAGTCATAAAGAAAGCGGTATTACACATCTCGCCTGCATCTATGCTTGTGCGCAATGCACGCGTGCGTGCTTGCGGGTTGCCCCCGGGGGTTGCCCACATGCTCGCGACGAAATAGGGCACGGACACAGTTTAAAACAATGGTCGACAAATCTGACGCCCCTCTCCCTTGTTCCACTTTGTTCTGTCTTGTTCTTCCTTCCAGCCCTTTGTTTTGCCTCGTCACCAGCTCGATTCCGGTTATGCAAAGTCCTTAGAACATCGATTGCCGGCACCAAAACGAAAACACTGGCGCCCTGGCTTGTGAGCGGTTCCCAGTCCCTCTGGCCTGGTGGCCTTTCGCACCCTTATGGCGAGCAGCGTGGCAAGGCACTCCGGCCCCGCCGACCCCGCGACGGCCTCTATAAGATTTCGCCGCCCCCTGGCGCACCCGGTTACTGGGGCAGTGACTCACGGGAACCATTCAGTTTGACCGGAACCGGAAGTGAGCTAGACGCGTGACCTCTTGCCCCCCCCCTCCCCCTGCGCGTCTATTGTTAATGCGGTGATGTGGTGGGGGTGGCGTGCGCGACGCGCTGGGTCGACCCGACCGCCCCGACGCGGCGTCAGCTTGTCCTACCGCAACAGCCCGTCACCTGCCTGTCATTCGCCGGGACCGTAAAGCCTCCCCCAGCCGTGTCTCTTCTATCGTCCAGACCCAGCTTAAAAGCAATGTCATCTTGTTATTTTTGCTCCCTGCCGCCGTCGCAATGACCTCATCCATTCCCCCGGCCCTCGCCCTCGCAGCCTTTTGTCCGGCCCCCGCCGCCGCCCGCCACGCCGTCTGGCCTGCCCGCGTCGCTCGTCGGCCCCGCCCGTTGTTGCTTTTGGGGGCGACCCGGTCCGCCCCGTCTGTGTGGTGCCCGGCGTAGCCATGGCGTCGCCGGAGACGGGGGGCGTCGCGGTGGTGTGGCGTCGTCGTGAAGCGTCTGCACACTGAACTGAAACAGACCACGGCTTTTTGGCCGGTCGAGGGGCAAAGATTCGAAGGCTACCCTACGCCGCCTTTTGTTGCCCAAGCACTAACAGCTTTTTGAGGCAGGCGTCGGTACTTAGCGGTATAGCATGGCACACACGCCACAGCACACCGTCCATCGGATTCTGAAGAAATTAATCCCAGTACGTTTTGGAGCCCGTTGACAGCCATGTCTATCAACTTGAGGATTTGCGACACAGACCTGCTCGTCGCGGGACTGGGTGCTCTCGTGCAGTACAGTGCACTGCACCGGCCCGACAGGGGCCAATAGCCACCCTGGCGTAAAGGTTGTGGCTCCGAGGACGTGAAGTAGGCCACCGGCCCGATGTGGCCGCCGTACTATTTCGCCACCAAATTACAGGGCTGCTACTGGTGCCGCTCCGACACGGCCGCTGACCGCCACTGTGGCCGAGCAAAACAGCACAGTGTCCCGTGCGCCGTCCTCTTGTGAAGCTGAAAGCGTCAGCAGTACGCGAGCTGTGCACGGCGTCGTCCTGGGCCTGCCTGCATCCAGTACTGTCGAGCGGGGGGAGGCAGTGGGGGATGCAGTGGGGGAGGCCGAGCAGGTGCAGGCGGGTCGAGCTGAGCTGACCGATGGGGTGCAGCCCCGCTCGGGGGTCACTGCCCTCTGTGACGTCACGCTGCGGACGGGGATGAGCTGGCCGACGCAGACGGACAGCCGTCGTGTGCCACGTGGAGCACACTCGAGTGGACTCGAGTTCTTTAGGATTCCTTACTTGATATACAGGGTGGGTGATCCGCGCCGTGTTTTTTTCTGCTTATACTGTACCGAATTCATGCATGCGGACGGGTTGCATACTCGCACGGGGCCGTAAGGAGCCATGGCGAGCGACGATAGGCAAGCCCGCACGCACGCATGAATCCGGTGCAGCATAAGCAGAAAAGAACCATGGCGCGGATCAACCACCTCGTCAACCACCCTGTATGAATTTAAAATAATTTTACACAGTCCGTAGCTGCTGCTGCTCAGCAGCGTCAGTTCCGCCGACTGCTCGAGGAAGAGAACGAACCCCTCGACCTCTATCCTACCTAAATAGAGCGTCGGTATATTATCGTGTTTTTAAGAAACAGCAGGCGGACTGTAAGTGCTCCTCCTCTCCATTTTAATGGCGCCCGCCGACGTAAATCAACTCTATTGATCAGTGGCGGGGTGAGCCTGGCGCTTGCAGCCTGGCGCTACTGCACAACCCCGCGCCGGCTGCTACTCGCGGGGGGTAGTGCCACGGGGAGTAGCGCCGCGGCCGCAGCGGCTCGCGGGGTCACCCCGGCGCGCAACCTTCCGCTATTACGACTCCCCGCATTCAAATCTCCGCTCGGAATCTATACAGAGAAAATACGGGAGTCAGTTGTAACAATGCATCCGCTCCGAATGGAGTCGCTGTACTACTCGCAAGCTAGCAAGAGTCGCAATCGCAATGATTGAGACAACTTTTCCTACCCTTCGTTGTGTATCAATAATCTCGTCAGTAACCATTTTATGAAGAGACTTACTTCCGTCTCTGTGCCCCCTGGTAGAGACAGTCAAGGGGACTGTCTAATAAAAACCAGAAAGAAACGCTATATTCCAGTGCTGGGAAATTTTCCACAGTGCCAAATCACCCGCATGACCTACTTAACTTGTCGCCTATCGCGAATGTAATGTTTCTTTTCTTCCCCCCCCCCCTCTCTCTCTCTCTTTTATACTTGGCCGCACCGACCAAGATTGGAGCTTTGGAACAACAAGTAGTATAGAAAGTGAAAGTGCCTTGCAAGGTGTAAGGGTGCTGCTGGCAGTGACGGTGGGTCCGGCCCCCCGGCCGGGTGGCCGCTGCCCCCTGCAGGCAGAGAGGGATGGCGGGGCGGCTGAGGCAACCCCGTTGCGTGCGGCGGGCGGCGGGGCGGGCCGCCTCGGGCAGGGCGGCCGCGCGCTAATGTATGCATACGGGGCACCGCTCCCTTTAGGGGTTCGGCGCGGTCAGCGTCAGCACGGCACCAGGGGGGCTGCACCGCACCCCACTCAGGAGCCGCGGGAGGCGTTTACACTTATGCAGCACGCGTGTGATGAGTGCGACGCCGAGAGTAGTTTGCGTGTCGAGATTAAAGCCGGAAAGCGGCTCAGAAGGACTCTCTCGCACACCGTGACGCGACGACGTCGGAGTTTTGGTTTGTTATATGCAAAACTGGTAGTGATAGCGGTCGCGCCGTGGTGGTGCTGGCAGAACGGTATCGACCTTGTCCGTAATTACCCACCCTAGGCCGCTGGGGGCTCGCGGCAGGGGGCAGAGGGCCTCCGTGTCCGGCGCGGCCTCGGCACGGCTCGGACAGAGCAGAATATGCGTGTCCGAACAGCCACTCTCCGTCGGGGAAAGAAAGGCGCCCCACCCTGCAGGCTGCCATCCGCGCCCGCCTGCCTGATTGCTTTACTTGTGCAAACCAAACTAGTGATCTGGAAAGAGTTGGTATCTGCGGTGGAATCGAGCATGAGCATTCACACACCACTCTAGCAGCCAGAGCTGCAGGTGCAGGCTGCTGTGCCGCAGCCCGGCCCGGCCGGAGCATGCACCCTGCGCTGGTGGGCCGCGTGCCTCACTCGGGCGCGCTGCGGGTCTGCCTACCCGAGAGTTCGCAGGCGCCGAGCCCCGCGTACTACAAGACGGTGTGCCGCTGGACGCAAGGAGGTAGAGGGCGGGGGAGGGGGAATTCGATAGCTGGAATCTGAGAATCGGAATACTCAAGCAGGCTTGACCGGAAGTGAGCAGGTAGCGGGGGATTTGGGGGGGCAGGGGGGAGAATCGAAGAAATTGTGACGTCAGTGAGGCTCGCACTTCGCACCCTATCCTACGCTGTGCGGCCGCGGCGGCGCTGCGAGGACAACAAGGACTGTGCTTCCTTAATGGATGATGCTCCTTCCCCCTGGGGGTGGCGCTCGGGCAACGCTGGGGTACTCGGCCAGCAATTGTGTAAACAAATGACAGGTTGTGGAAGGGAGTGAGTGGAGGGGAGGGGTGGTCCCCGGGCCGGGTCCCCTCGGCCACTGGCCTTGCTCACCCCTCCTCCCACCCTGCCCGCCCGCGCCGCCCCCACTGACCACTGGTGCCGGGGCGGCCGGGGGCGGCCCACCCGCTAACGCGCCGCTAACGCCGGGGCGCTGGGCGCGGGCTGGGCCAGTCCCGCCTCATGAGCGGTGCCGCACGGAGCCCGCCGAGCCTCGAGCACGCCGAGCAGGCCTCGGACACCAGCCCGCCGCGCGCTACGGGCTGTTGGACACCAGCCGCCTCGAGGCCCCGGTCAGCGCAGGACCGCGGGCGTCGCGTTCCCCCCGAACTACGCGCCGCCTCGGGCCGAGGTCGTGTCGCCCCATGGGGGTCCCGATGGACGGGCACGGCCAGTACCCTGCCGCCCCCGGCTCCGGCCAGCACTATCCGCAGCCGCACCCTGGCTTCGCCTACCAGCAGCAGCCGCCGCCGGCCTCGGGCCCCGCCGCCGCCGCGCCCGCCGCTGCCAACCCAGACGTGGAGATCGAGTACGAAGTGACGGTGCCCCTGGGCAGGCTGAGGCACTCCGGCTGCCACTCCATGTGGGACCTGCAGTGGTACGTGCCACGCGTCTGGGCAAGCAAACACTTACGATGCCAGTCAGGCCACAAAAAGGAAAAAATAAAACACTTTCATTTTGAATATTAGCGCGCGGAGGTCTGCCGCTCCACACACACTCCGTATGCAATGTCATGCAAAACATGAAGGTGGCGTTCCTACCGTACCGGACCTGATCATCAACCCCATCGATTCCAAGGCGAAGGGAATTCCCTGCGACGCCTGTCACCCTATCCATTAGAGATGCGCCGCGTGCGTTGTCCTAGTTCCGGGGAGGGGACCGGCGGGGCGGAGGGGTAATGCTGCTTCCTTCTTAGCTCATCCCTCATTCGGTTTGAGTCCCCATCCCCCTCCCCCCAGTGCAAAGTTCCTCGCACGCTCGGCCCACAACTTCGCCCTGCTCCACCGCTCTCGCCCAACACTCCCCGCCCCCGGGTTGTCGTGCAAGTCGGGGTCCAAGTCACACACATAGAAAGTATCCTTAGTTGAACATGGAAGCTTTTCAAATACAATCCTACTGCCGCGCCACCTTAAAGTTATTTGTCTCGCAAAGCTCAACGCCCTTTGTCCACCCAGCCCAGTTTTTGTTTTCAACTTTCTTCTTTCACGGAGCAAGGGGGAAAGGGGGGGGGGGCAGCTGGCATCGTCTTGTGCAAGCACGCGGCGAGGTGCAATACCCTTTGCTAGAATGAGTCACGGTCAAGCTCGGCTCCGCGCCATCCGCAAGCCCCCCCTCTCTCCCTCCATATCAGGACCGGACAGCCTAGCCTCCCCCCTGTCTACCCTCTCCCCCGTCCAGGGGGGCGTTGAACCCTCTGGCGCGCGGAATAGCACGGCAGGGGCCGGCCCGGCGTCCGGCACACGGTCCGTTCGTAAGGTGAATCGATTTGAGTGGCCCTGGCGACGCAAACCCGCGCCCCGCGCCCCGCGCCGCGCCGGCCGACGTCATGTTGTCCAATCGCCCTTGTCGTTTGTGCATATATGTATTTACAGACAATTGGTGCATTTGTTTAAAATAAATGAAAATGTAATATCCTAATAAAGATATCGAGCAGATGAGAAGAGGGAGCAGATGCAACATGTCAGAGACTGTTCAAATAACGTCACCCTACGACGCTCACGCCAGTGCTAAAGGGTAGCGAGGAAGGAGGGGGGGGGTGCTTTGCCCCATGGTGTAGCGACTGTCTCGCGGACTGTCTTCGGTCGGAAGCAATTCTGAATAAAATAATCTGTCGCTGTGTCGCTGAAGCTGTAGACCGGGGCCCCGGGGCCCCGCCCGCGGGGGCCGCAGCTGCAGTTAACCCCCGGACTGGCTGCGCCTGCCGCCCCCCCCCCCCCCCTCCGGGCCTTGCTCCCTGCCTCCCCCTGCTCCCGCCACGCCGCCGCCCTCCATGCCACCCGCTCCCGCTGGCAGCTCCCTCCGCACCTACCACGCGCAAGCGAAGCTTCATAAATGTTCCGAGCGTTCGCCGACAGCTTTTGGGGCCCGGACCCTTTCTCTCTGAGGTAAAGATCATCGCTTAGAAAAAGGCGCTGCTGCGGTCGAGGAGTCGGAAAAGTGACGGGATACGGGGATTTGTCGCGTCCGAGGTTGAGGTTAGGGCACGGGCCGCACGGGGGCGGGGAAAGGTGGCGGTGGTGTGCGAGTGTGTTTTGGGGCCTGCCGGTCGCCTAGCGACGGCTGGGTGGGCGGCTCGTAGAGCCGTAGACCCTAGCGGCCTTGCGGCGCCTGCGTGCGGGCAGCACACAGTGCGCTGCGCGGCATGCAGCACAGGGAAGGCCCCGGCCCTGCATCACTTTAGAATACCAGAATTTAATAATAAAAAGAAAACAAGGCGATTCGTACTCTTGCACTTTACCTTGCATGCCACCAACCGACCAATCGCATTGCGCGCTTCATTTGAGCCGACTTGCATCTCTACCAGTTTTGGGAAAGATGGTGCATTTGCAGATCTCTGT